TCTCAAGAAATGTATGTAAATAAAAATATTAATAATAGAATAATTATTTTAATACTTAAAATTAATATATATATATATATATATTATTAATTAATATTTTAATCTACCTCACATTAAACAACAACATATTAAATATTTACAAAAAAAAAATGTTTACAAAATATTTGGGAATATAATATTAAATAGATTCTATCAATTCTACCAATAAAAAGTTATACCAACAATGGTTTTTAATTTTAGAAAAGCTATAGAAACAAAAAATACTAATAATGTTATAATTATATTAGCAATTAAGAATTTGCAACTTATATATAATACAATTTTTAATTTATATATATATATATATATATTAGAAATTTTAACAAATTTGATATATTTTAAATTGAAATTATATTTTTTATAAATTATTAATTGATATTTTAATTTACATTTGAGAATTTAATATTTTGTTGACTCTTTTGTTAATGTAAAAAAGTAAGAAATAATAAAATAGAAAATAATTGATATAATAATTAAAATAAAATATGTACATATTTTATGTGTCTTGAACTCTTGATTGATGCATAATCTATAAAATTGTATGATATTTATGCATCTTGACATATTAATTATAATATATTTTTTTATACATACCATTAAAATATACATTAACTAGGTATTTATACATTATTTGTGGTTATTTGATTTTAAATTTGGTGTTATTAATATATTTATGGAATTTCTATGTGTTTACTTAGCGTATCCAAATCATTCGTCCGTATCCATACATTTCTAGAACATATCTGTATCCAAGTTGTTAGATACGATACTCAATACCGATACTTTAATCATTGGGTCTTCTATTTTTACAAGGGCTAGAATCTCAACTTTCAACACCATACTAAGATTGTGTTTGGTACCATTTCCACTTCCACTTCAGGCTCAAACATTTAAATTGTGTTTGGTACCATTGCTGTTTATACCTAAATTATTTTGGGTTGAAATAGGCATATGCGATCAACCCAATTATCAATATAAATTAGCATACAATTATTATTTGAGGCTGTTTATATATGGTTGAAATAGGCATATGCGATCAACCCAAAACGTTCCAGTAGAAACTGTATTTTGACATGAAACTTGTTTGGTTAGTACTTATGCCATTAGGTGTTGAACAAATGTTTTTGAGCAGTAGTGCACGTGTTTGATATTGGCATTGTTACCTCAAATGTCTAAATGAAATATTTATATTCAATGTGATACCACCCTATTGTATTGGTCTCTCATCCAATGGTTGGCTCATTACTAACCATAGATTAACATCTAGATGTAGATTTAACGGTTCTAGAAGTATATGGGTGGTTGCTGGTGTATATCCATAATCCATCTTTGCAAATATAGGATGCATCAGAATATATCTCTACACTGCCTGCCACATAGGATACCAATGCCAATTAAGGATCAAGGCATTGGACTGTTTCTTCCAATGGCAGCTGATGGACCTAATGAAACATTTTATGAATGTTTTAAGTTAAAAACGGTTTCAACCCAATAAAAAATTCATATTTAAACTCGAAACACTTAATGGGTGTTTGGCACCGGTTTAGATGGGTCCGCTCCAGATCCGAGTCCTTAAATTCCAAACAGGCAACAACACATATACATAGCATGTGACCCATTTGGTGTCACATAACTTTAACAAGCTGAGGATATGATTTTGATTAGGGGTCTTAATAAGTTTTTTTCATGCATCTCTGGTGAGCCATAACTCATAAAAGCAAAGCCACTGGGTCCAAGTCCGACTGCTTACACAACAAATGAATCCAAAACTTGCACTTGGAGAGGCCTGGGGCCCTGGTGCACAAATGGGTCGCATTCAAGGCCCACACTCCAAGCGTGACGTTGTCCCATTTTCTGAATGGATTGTGTCTCTACCTACCTCCACTACACTACACCCTTTAAATTTGTCAATGCTGTCGTGATCCGTGGAGGATGGAAAAGGAAATCCGTCAAGCACAAGAGAATTTGCATATTTATTGTTTATTTTGTACTTGTCTCCCCTTATTTGTTAATTAATTAATTACTTTTTTTTATTTACTAATTAATTTATTATTTACTATTAAATAATTAATAATTTATTATTATTATTATTAAATAAATTAACAGCTTTGGTCAATGGTTCAACGGTTTGACTGCTGTGGTCGGCCGAGCCAAAAAGGGGTTGAAACTTGAAAGCCATGGACCATGGTAGGGAGGATAAGCACTTAAAGACAGTAGTCACTAGTCATATAATTAAGGAAGGAATAACTGTGAAATCCCTACAGTTTGGCAGTTTGCATAACCACAACAAATAAAATGTTAGTGAGGGCCCTTGGGCTTGGGCCCGCCTTAGGCCAACATGGGAGACCGGATTCACTTCTTATAAAACAGTGCTCATACCGTCTTTAGAGCGGTATATCGGGAATATCTCCATATTTGTATGTTTTTATTTATTAGGAGATATTTTCAATGCATATCTACAAATAGTTGTGAGCACCGTGTGAAAATGATTTTGTAAAAACTGAATCCGATTTCCCAATATGGAAGTGCTATCTACCTGCAAGAAGAGGTGCACCGGGTTCAGTGACACCTCTGGGTCAGGAGTGATGCAACAATTTAAAATCCAGATTTGCTCCTCACAGCGTTTTCAGCTGTGTATTGAAAAAACATCTTTCATACTTGATATTGTTCATGAGAAGATGTTTTCAATGGCTGCAACGTGCTGTGAGATTAGTTAGTATTTGTGAGGATAAAATGGGTTAGTTTTAGGAGTGTAAATGGATCGGATCATGATCTCATCCTATCTTATTTGGTCAAATTCGAATCACCCCCTATCCAATCTGAAAAGATTCGACCTGATGTATTATATATTTATAAATATAAATATTTATATATGTTATTTATTTATTTATAAATATATTATATTTTTATAAATTTGTTATATTATTTATTTAAAAAAAAAGCATGTATATATATATATGACGAAAATAATTAAAAAATATTTGTATGTTTTGTTTTTTCTTTACTTCAATTGGTATATTTTATTTTTTTTAATAATTTATTAATTTTTAAAGAAAACAAGTTGGATTAAATCAGATCCAAAGATTCAAAGATCCGATAGGATTCGAATTCAGATCCAATCGGATCTTCGGATCCGACATGAACAGTGTCAAATTGGATTTGAATATACCCTAGTTCAAATCTAAACAGATCCGTTTGCATCCTTAGTTAGTTTGACGTTTTGTGGAGATTCATATAGGCTGTTTGGTTACAGTATAATTTTATTTACATTAGTACAAATGCATAGGAGTGCAAATGAAAAGAATGCAAATTCTGATTTAATTTTGTTTTGAATTTTACTTTGTTCTGTTTGAGATGTTATTACAATCAAACAAAATAAAATAAATCTTAATTTGCACCAAAATCATTTGAACTACTATGATTTTATATGAGTGCAAATAAATTCGCATTACAACCAAACACAGCAATAAGGACGTGTGAGGTTGCCCACTAGACTTGACCTTGTTTATATCAGTGTTCACAGCTTAGTTGGAGTGGTTTTTCATTTTATTTTATTTTTCATGAAAGATAAAGATGTAATTATAACAATTGGGGTGATATGTGTGTTTGGTATACCACCAACTCCCCTCCAGCGGAATTGGACTCGTTGGTTCGGGTGGGTACTAAGTGGTGGAACCTAGTACGTCGTGTTTTTTCCTGATCTAAGAAGATGCATATGGTAGTTTACATCACTCTCTTATTTTTCTTTTATTTTTGTCTCATTTTCTAAAATTATTACCATTGGATCACCACTCAAATATCTCTCCCTTCCTAAGACTAAGCTATAGAGAGTTTATTTGCTTTCTAAACCCTAAAATCATTCAGGGTGCGGAAATTTCTTTATCGACTGTCCAAAGTAAATTCGATATTTTCATCCGTCAAAAGTAAAATTGTCGAGTTGATTTTTCTTATCAAACACCATTTAAGTATTGTTTTATTGCATACAAGTTTAAACAGCCCGTCTGTTTACATGTTGGCCGCGAACACTGGAAAGCGACAAGGAGAAGTAAATCAAAGGCGGTGAGATAAGCATGTGAGAGTGAGATGCACACCACCTATTTCTGTTCAAATTTGTCCTTTGGCTTAGTTTGGAAAGAGTACAAATACAAATAAATAATATAAAATACAAGGTTTTGTACAAATTTGCATTTGTACTCCTTCCAAACTGAGTCGAACAAGTTTCAAGTTTTAAATCAAACTGAGATCTGCTGCAATATATTGTATGTAGGTATGTGTATTCTTTCAAGTTTCAACCAAAGAAGAAGGAAAGAAAGCCTCCCTCCTCCAGTCCTCTTCCTCTCCCAGACCATGAAGACTCATCCGGCTCCAATCTCCATCTTTTCAGCAATTGTTGCGCTGACTGCTTTCATCTTGGTCTTGGAAGTTTGGAACCCCACAAATAAAAAATGCACATCCCATCATGAAAATGATTTGGGCACATCGAGGTATACATTCTTTTGTGAAAAGACAAAGGAATATCCTTATTATGACGACAATACAAGTACACATACAGGGTCCATCTTGTCTTTTTAAAGATGTATGCTTTTCACGGTATGCTACTATGCTTCCGTTTTTTATTTTAAAGAAAAACAATAAAAGAATCATGAGGCATCACACTGTAATATATAAACCATTCAGCCATGTACCTTAGAATTTGAAGTGGTAAGTGGTAACCAATTCATCATGGGGGATTTTGATTTTGATTTTGATTGGTTAACGTGGTAACCAACCAATCAACCGGGTTCCACAATGATACCAAAAAACCAATGAACCGGTATCATAAAACTAGTAATAACCAATTAGGTGTTATTATTTATTAAAATCACGGGGGGAAGGGGTGATTTCATTGGTGTTATTAAATATATAATAACACCTAATTGGTTATTTATCAAAAGTTCAAAACCCCAACTGAATAAAATACTCATACATTTCGCATTCCCTCTGTTACTGCGCTAGCTAGCGTGAGCCGAACCAGGAAGAAGTCCAAGTAGAAGTAGAAGAAAGAGGCACCCCCACCACCACCATCACCAATAAAAAAAGGAAAAAACACAATATCAACTACAAACCAAACATAAAAAAGGGGGGAAAGAATCGGTTTCTTTGTCGAGTCTCAATCTGAAATGGGGTTGTATGCTGCATTATTTCTGTTCTTCTGTGTAATGTACGCCCATCTCCCACCATCTTCATCCGATCCATACGACGAAGCCTGCCTCACAAACCTAAGACAATCCCTTCAAGACCCTACAAACAGCCTTAAGAACTGGACCAAAACCACCTTCGCCAATCCATGTAGCGGCTTCAACTCTTACCTTCAAGGCGCAACTTGCAACAACGGTCGCATCTACAAGCTCTCACTCTCCAACCTCTCTCTCAGAGGATACATCTCCCCTTTCCTCTCCAACTGCACTAACCTTCAAGCTCTCGACCTCTCTTCTAACTTCCTCACCGGACCCATCCCCCCTGATCTCCAATTGCTCGTCAATCTCGCTGTCCTCAATCTCTCCTCAAACCAACTCACCGGCGATATCCCCCCTCAGCTCGCAATGTGTGCTTATCTCAACGTTATAGATCTCCATGACAATCAGCTCACCGGACCGATTCCCCAGCAATTGGGTATGCTAGCCAGGCTATCGGCTTTCGATGTTTCCAATAATCGGCTCTCCGGCCCTATCCCTTCTACGCTGGGAAACCGAACTGGGAATTTGCCCAGGTTCAATGCCAGCTCCTTTCAAGGAAACAAGGACCTTTATGGCTACCCTTTGCCGCCGTTGAAGACAAAAGGGTTGTCCGTGATGGCCATCGTAGGAATCGGTTTAGGAAGTGGATTCTTGAGCTTGGTGCTTAGTTTTACTGCCGTCTGTATTTGGTTGAGGGTTACAGAGCAGGGGATAGCTGGTGAAGAAGGGAAGATCAGTCAGCTTATGCCTGATTATTAACATGCATTAGTTGAGAGATACGAACCAGTAATTCCAGGTACGATTCGATGAATCCGGTGTAATTCAATTTGAGATTAGAGAAAAAGAGGATGTGAGTACTTGTTCTTTTTTTCCCCCTTGGGTTTTTTGTTGTTGGGTTTTTTTAACCATTTGTATTTTTGCCTTGATTTTTTGTTTTACTCAACAATGTAAACTAATTGAGGCATGGATTGCTAATGCAAATACGGTTACCACCTATATCTCATTCAAACAGTACTTGATACTCTGAATTGCCTGTTGCTTTTACATTCAGTGCTTCTTTGGATTTCTTTATGTATATATTTTTCTTCTAAACAACTGTAGTAGACTAGATCCCTTTTTGTAAGTTGGTGTAGATGAGTTCCCCCTTCTCTTTGTTAGAGTTATGTGAGCTGAAAGCTCAATTAGCTGCCTGTATAGTGTATACCGTTTCTATTCTGTGAAAAAATCATAAATTCAAGGAATTTTATGCTATGGAGTTGCGTGGTTTTGTAATGTGAGATTGTAGGAGTGGAGAATTGGATCACTGAATGCGTCTGATCCGTCTGGAGGTGGGAAAGGTTGTTCTCCAGAATTGGAGATGGAAACAAATTTTCTTTTTTCTATTTTTGGGCTGGGGACTTTGGCAATAGGCATGACTGACGAGAAAGAAAAAGGAAAGAAGGGGGGTGGTTGATCGGACCGGTTATACCTGGCTACATTGTCCGGTCAGTGGGACCCATAACATGGTTCAGTGGATCCCCAGTAGTCGAACAATTCAGACATGATTTAAGCTTTAAAGGGGGACCTCACTGTCCTTGACTAGTTAGTTTGGTAGGGCTGAAAGTTTGCAATCCGTAGCGGACAGGAAAATCTTTTGGGTAACAACATCTACAAGTTTAGATAGGATAAGAAGTTGCAGTAATCTTATTATGAATGGAGCTTCTGTGGAATGTAATAGAAATGTGCAGTAATTTTTATAGAAATGTAAAACGAATTTAAAAGTAAGAAGATAAAGAGATTACAATTACAGAGAGGGGATTGTGCTTTATCTGAATACGGCTGAAAATTGAAATGGGTTCATTCTACAACAACGTCACAGAGCGAGCTTTCCATGTCATAGTGCCGTTTAGACGATTCAGTCTGTGGCCGAAAGCCGCCTGCAATGTGGCAGAAAACCCGGCGCCTGGCGGTGATCTCCCTAGAGATCACAACAAAAAGAAATGGGTAAACTAGAGAAAATTATATTTCTTAGGCTTCAAGTTAAAATCAAAGGCTGCAAAAACATTTACATATTGTTCCTGAAAAAAGAAAAGAAAAGAAAAAAGATGATGAGCTCAAAGCTCAACTCTTGAGGTTGAAGGATATAAAAGATGGCAGTGGCAGTGGCTTTGCAGTACCCCCAGCAGAAAATCCGCATTCTAGCATTCCTTTGCTTGCTTTGTGTGGAAGCGTTAATGGATGATTTCTGTTGGCTGTGTAATGGACCATGATTGTGGTCTGCAGGGTACGTTGTTCTAGGCTTCTTTCCAATTCCCCTTTTTCTTTCTCTCTTAGACCAATATACAAACTAACTGCACTTTCTCTCCACATACAGTTATAATAATGTCGATTTCATTGTCTGGTTTATTGGAAAAAATGTCTTGTCACTAATCATGATCCTCTGCTCTGGTTTTGACTTAAACCATGGCAACGGAGAAAGGAACAAGAAAGAGGTGCTATTTCTCTGTAAAATCATAAATTCAACGATTTTATTTGCAGATTGAACTTAAGGATATGTATGTTTTTTAACCAGATCATTATGAATTCGAAACAGGGAGACAACTATGAAGTACTTCCTCCACTTCCAATCACAAGATAAAGCATCCGACATTCAGACTGGGAAAGGCTTCCACAAAATGATAACCAGAAATGATGCCAGGTTTGACTGGATCATCACCTGCTTCATTTAATTTCCTACGACTCCATTGAATTGAACCTTACAAACGAAAAGATGTCTTTGAACAAAAGCATGATTTCCCTGTAAACATGAATTCAGTATGGATTCTTAGGCCTTAGATGAGCCGTAGATTATCACTCTCAACAATCACATGCTTGAAATCCAGACTTCTAAGTTCTAACCACCTTTAAAGCTCTTAAATCTGCAATTGCACCTTGCAAGGACCACCCTTTCCTACCCAACAGACACCATCATCATCTCCAAAGCAAATAACCAATATTAACTTTATTAAACTTGAAAAAAAACTACCACCAACATTTACCTTGATTCTTCTTCTTGCATCAATTATTAAACCAGCTTGCATGAAAGGGGAACATCAGTATCATCAACACGAGGGCGTGCAAGATAGATTCACTGTCTCTTTCACAAAGAGAGCAAATGAGGGAATGAACTACTGTACGCTTGAAGAGGTTCTCTTTGATAGCTTAATCCATTGTGACAACGCCTCTATAAGAAAGATTGTGAATTGAGAACTTGGTATTATTCTCCCTCGAAGGTGGCCCCTCATGTTAAATATCTGCTTCAGAAGATAAGCCGGGTCTTTTTTACTTTCCTAGGTTTAGAATGATATGGCTTTTAATGTATCGCTGTGGGGTATTCTTTTCTTTGTGGGGTTTGGGTGAAATTGTGAGGAAATGCTCTTTGTACTCCAAGTCCTCCCTTGTGTTTCTGGCTTTTCCTTTTGAAAATGGCTAATAAAAGTTTTACGTGGGCGCCCCTCCACCTGGAGTAAATTTTGAGACTAAAACAGAGATTTTCCAAAGAAGAATCCAAATTCCTTGTCCATAGAGGATATTGAACCAGCCTCACTTTGAGTTATGAACGAGCTCCATTGCCAAGAAGTAGGCTAACCTTACAAAAATTTAACAACCGAACTGGGAGACCACACAATTTTATCATTTCCACCCATTTTCAACAAGCGTCATCTCAAGAATTCCTTAAATAAGGGTTGCATTCATAACCCCCTACATTGAACACTCGCATCTATCCCCCGTCCTATCAAGTGTTTGCCACCTTGACCTTGCAAACATTCAAATGTCTGTCTAGGCCTTGGTCCGATATGCCTGAATCCAATTTGAGGATATGTTTGATTAGACAGAGAAATAAGAGGAATAGAAACGTGGAGGGAAAATTCTTGTGGGAACATTAAAATCAGATGAATTTTGATAAAAACAAAAAACTAAAGGATAACTTGATTTTCCATTTCTCCAAATATCTTAACATGATTAATCGTGACCATTGCCGGTTTGATTCTTGAACTCATTTGCCCTCACTAACTAGGCATGGTAATTTTCTCGATCGGGGATTCACCCCAAATGGGGCGGGGATGGGGATGATTTTTCCCCGTGGGGATGGAGATGGGGAAATTTTTCATCCCCGTTGGCGAAGATGGTGCGGGGATGGAGAGAGCACTTCCTGCCCCGTGGGGACCCCAAATCCCACCCCATGGGATCTCCGCTAATGTATATGCATACGTTTATATATGTATATATGTACATGAGAAAATTTATCATGCGGGAAAGACAAGGTATCGAAAGAGTTTTGACCAATGAAAATCCATCCATAAATTTTAATAAATAACACCTGATTGGCTACCACATTTTATGATTCTAATTGATTGCTCAGACATTTTTCAGATATCATATCTTTTCCATATCATAGTCGAATTCATATATACATATACGTCTATATGTTAATATTTTTAAAAATGGTTGAATATGTTTGAATCTTTTCTAATAAAATTGTAAATTTTAATTATTTTATTTTTATCTTTTAAATAAAATAAAAAACAAAAACATAATATTTGACATTATAAAGAATCACAGGGAATGGGGATAACTTTGTCCCCGTTAACAGGGATGGGGACGGGGATGGGGAGAGGCTCCTCATCCCCGCCCCACACTATTGCCATTCCTACCACTAACCTGCTCCTATTTTGTTTTATTCTCCCACATTTTTTTGATGGCTAAGTTTTATTCTCCCTCTCCTACGATCTATATGTCCTGGCAATAGGGGTGCAAATGAATCGGATCAGATCATGATCCATTTGGTCCAAAATCCAATCCTGTTTTGTGGGATTTGGATATTTTCCTGTTGAATTTTTCGATCATATCAGATAATAAGATCCAGTTGAAAATCATATTGCATTTGGATCACCCCCTGATCCGATCTGATTATTTATTTAAAAATATATTTATATTACATTTTTTTTGTTTTTCTATAAACTGTTATTTTTTATTTTTTTTCATAAATTAAATCGGATCGAATCAAATCTGTGGATATCTGACATCCTTAAAGGATTCGGATTCGAATGGATGTTTGTGAGATCCAAATGGATTTTCAGGTCGGATTGGTCTATTGTACTATCGGATTAGCTTGAGATATGCCTCGATTCGAATCCAACCCAATCCGTTTGCATCCCTATTAGGCGGATTCCATCTGACCCATTTAATGAATTATTAGTTATTTTATATTATTTTAATTAATTAATTATTTATTTATTTTTGTTATGATGGTTGAACCATTAACCATTGACCCAGAGGAGAAAGCGGTTATTGAACCCAACTTCCCACGCCAAAGATTAGGGCTTCGAAAGTAAAGGATAGTCCAAATTCCATGAATTAACATTTGGATTAGAGAAATTAACCTAAAAATGATCTAAATATTATATATTAATGATAAAACTAACACGACTTTAATATTATATATGATGAATAGAATGACACCCATGAAATTGAGAACCTGTAAATTTTTAGTGTGAATCCATATTTGATGCAATCTAGTTATTAGTTGGTTGTAAACGCTCCATTATTAACCAGTGGTGTTGTATATGCCAAGGTTGGGAAGCAAGGTTTCTTAACTGCAACACCAACACCACAGCAAATAAGGTTCAGTCACTGAGTCAAGTTAACACATGGAATGTATAGCTGCTAGCTATTATTAATGGATTCTTCACCAATAGCAATGTCATGGTGCATGGTGGGAAATGGAATTAGATGCGGTATTCCTGTTCCTGCCACATGCATTCAAAAAAGGCGCAACACTTCAAGGGATTTTAGTGATTTTGATTAAAGTTGTTTGGCGCCAAAATTCCAACCATGACTCAATAACTCTGCACTTGAACCGGTCACAAGCAACCTGTGCGTCCCAGAGTGTGTCAGATTACTTTTTTCATTCTTAATAATGAAGGGAAAGAGAAAAGGAGAATAAAATTTTCAAGTTTAAGGTATGGATAAGATTAGATGATGTTGTTGTCCAATGTCAGGCACTATTAATGTGTCAATGAGTTGAAGATGAATCCATCAATAGCGCAACCAGAGGCCAGAGCTTTGTCTCTGTTCTCGCTCTGTGGCTGAAACTTGAAAGAGTGGTGATAAGGACCAATTGGAATGTGAAATCAGAAATTTGCGGACTCCGTCTCCGTGTCATTTTCCATTCCATTCAGTATTCAATGTTTTCTTTTTTGAACTTCAAATATCCAGGCCTCGGGCCTCAGGGTCAGGGTCAGGTCATCAGGATCTGGGAGCTGCTTCCTCCATCATGCTTTTATACCAAAAATCAGCTTCATCAGATCTCAATGAGAGTTATGAGCGAGCGTCCCCACCACTCCTGATCATTCTAAAGGCCCTGTTGGGTTTGCAGGAATAGGGGTCTTGAACCAGAATGAGAATGGGCTTATTCCGATTTCAACTATTTGGTTGGGTGGAATCGGAATCCCATTCCCATTCCTAGTGGAATGGTCATTTCCTCCCCCTCTCTTGAGAATGAGATTTCGTTCCTATTGATTCTAATTTTCATTCGGATTCCTGTCTGAATGAAACAGATTATAAGAATAGACCATTCTGATTTCAATTTCAAAGGTTTCAATTTCGATTCTGAATCCAACTATATACCAAACAGACCCTAAGTTTCTAATCACCCAATTTCTGATTCATGCCAAGTTATTAGGCCCAACAACAAGTCATGGGCCCTGTGTCACTATACACAAGCTTCTACAAAAATAATTTGTTGGGGTCGGACTGGTGAAGCATATGGCATAAGGAATACACCGAGATGGCTTCAGGCCTCCCCAACCCTCATGCTTGACGCGTTGACCTAGCCCAAGCCCAGCCACATGCCCACATAGCTGACAAGGCCTACCCACTGGAGCATAAAATAAAATAAATGTTTATTTACATAATTACTTATAAAAATAGTGTCTGTAAGTAATAATTATATGTTATGTTGAAACTTGAAACATTTGACAGATTTTTATAATTATACAGTATTTTAATAATGTGATATCCCTTTTACTCACGGCAGTACTTTACCTATATACGGTATTCCATGCGTACCAATTCCACTTATTTCTGCTGCATGATTCTAGTGGAATGTGATCACTTCTAGAGGTCTCTTGTGTTGGGAGTTTTGTCCATATTGAGCTTGTCTTACATTCAACTCTGATGCAGCGTGGAAGCAATGAGAACCGGAGCTGGCTATACAAACATCGGGCGTTCGCTAACACCTAGCGAATAACACCGATTTCTCTAKGAGAGAGAAAAGGTGGCGAAAACTCAAAGAAGAGAACTCAAGAAAATCTGAAAATCTGAAGTAYGAATTGTSTTYATTAACTGGAAAATAGCAGTATTTATAATACATCTGAAAATTGAAATTGTAAAAGAACTGGAAATTGTGAAAGAACTGGGAAAGAACAATTAGGATAGATCAAAACATCTAATCTAGATAGGATCGAATTCCTCTTTGCCTGATCTCCACCGTCCGATCTCCCTAGATACATGTATCTTGGATTATCTTGCTAATCTTGATGCTTCTTGGAGTCTTTCTTGATAATCTTGGAAGAGTCTTGCCTTGTCTTGCTAATCTTGATAGTCTTGGGAGTCTTGAGTTGTTCTTGCTTATCTCTCTTGGACTAATCTTGATAATCTTGGCTCCTTCTCTATCTTGACTTCTTGCCTTATCCCTAGAGCTGCCGCCCCTAGAGGTGCGATGGGCTTTCTTGTGATGGGCCTCCATCAAACTCACTGGACAAACGAGGAAAGTTGAATGGAGTTGGCAACCTGCAGCATGAAACTTTTGCCAAAAGTTCATCCCAATGTCCCAGACATTGCTTTTTCTGTGTCTGACTATCATCTTTGGTATATTAACAGGCAACTTAGTTGGTGAAACGTGTGGTTTAGGGGAGCTATTAGAAGCCTTAGTTTCGATGAAGAGACGTAGATGACTACATGTACATGCATTGGTCATTTGGCTCGTTTCTCCCCCTTGCCTTGAACTGATCTAATGTGAATCATGAATGGTGCTGACTGAATGTCCCAACTGCTAAAGGAAAGAGGAAACCCTGCCAAGTGTCAATGAAGCAGGACTGGAGACTGGATACCGGAGACCGGAGGAGTAGCTGCTGAAGGCCTGAAGCTGAACAACTAGTGGTTACAAATTAATGACACACTCGACAACTTTCTGATGAAGACAAACTTACGAGGTCTCGGATGAGTTTAGTAGATGAGGCATCCACCTGAGACGATTTGAACTCAAATATCTATTATAGCCAATTAGCCAGCCCCTGCTGGTCATCCACTCACAAACAAAAAAGTGAATGTTACAAACATTCGTGAACCTATGGGGCCTGGAGGTACTACCCATCTGTGGAGTGTGGACCACCTTTTTGTTTTGGATGAACCATCAACAATTACTGAATCAAATTCTAATATAGCTGGGGTGCCACCCGGAATCAAATAAATCTCATTTCATTTGACTCCGCAGTTCCACTGGTTTTGAGGTTGAGGTCTGAATAGTGCAATGGGTTTGGAAATGCTTGTCCATGTCTCATGTCTGTGGGCCTGCTGCTGCTGCATTCACGGGCTCTTTGGGTCTTGGCGGAAAAGCATCATCAACGTTCCTAGCTTTCTTGTTTATCAGATTTACATCATGCAATTGAAATGTATGAAACAACATTTGGATCGATCCACGGCCGGCCACATGAATTTAAGCTAGAGTATACCACGAAGGAATCAAGGAATCGATTCCCATTGCAGAAATTTGTTTTTGTACAGGAGTTGCCAAGTGCCAACTATAGCATCTGACCGATCCACGGCCGACCACATTGAACTTGTTTCATCATATATATCTCCTCCGTTTCTTAAGACCATGAAAGGTTATACAGAAAATCTCATCAACTGCTCTCTTCATAGCTTTTCTACACGCTTCCTAAATGAAAGACTCCATGACTTGAAAAAAAAAATGAAATTGAAATTAAGTAGTTTCATGCTAGTCTTTCCACACATTAAAATAGTTCTATAACATAAAAAAAAAAAAATACATCTTAAAGAGAAACAGATAAATAAATTAAAATTTCTACTCATACATGTACAAAAAAAATAGAAATGCTGATAAATTTGGAACTCGGCCTTCCGAGAAAGTGTATTTCTACTCACATTTTAAACAATCAATAAAAAAGAACAATTTAGAACAAAGGTAACAAATAAACTAAAATTCAACATACCTTTTGATGGGAGGTTCAATGCCTGAAATTTGGGTAGTGGGAACATCATTTGAGTATACGAAAACAAAAAAGAAAAAAACTTTAAGCTATTTAATATAAGCTAAAACTTAAAAAAGATAAAAAAAAAAAAAAAACCCAAGGATCTTAAAGCTCGGTAAGATTTGAGAAAGAAAAAAACAAACATCCCTCAAATTTACAACCCAAATGAAGAGGGAGTCTTAGCATTCTTGAAAGAGTTCGATGTGGATTCAATAACCAATATCTTACAATTAAAATGATTCCATGAGAAAAGGGAAAAAATATTGTATCCTGATGAGATGGAAGTATAAAATATATTAAGATCTCTATTCACACATATATAAAAGGTCAACAAAAAACAGAGAAATATATATTAAAGATATTTTAAAAAGCAGTCAAATATTTCATTGATTACCACAAAATTTAGACTGACATGAAAAAATAATTAATTATTTAGAAAAAAGTTTAAACAATGCACGTAAGGCTGTGTTTGGTTGTAATGCAAATAAATTTATACTGATACAAAACCATGGCAGTGCAAATGAAATTGCACTCCTATACATTTGTACTAATGCAACTGCAACTAAACACAGCCTAAGACTCAATTTGAAGAGAAAACAAATACAAATATGTACAATGCAAAATACATGTTTTTGCAATGTATATGTTTGTATTATACTCTTTGCAATCTAAGGCTCAGTTTGGGAAGGGTGCAAATACAAGGTTTTGCACTGAACATAAATTGTGTTCCCAAACTGAGCCTGAAGTTAGATGACATATAAATGCACATGATATGAAAGCAAAGAGTGTGGACGGGAACAAGCAAAACATTTTTAAAAAGGGACTGCCATATGTAAAATTTCTTATACATTGTTTTACAACGAACTGATCAGATATTTGAAAGTTCAAACTCAATTTGCACCAGGTGACACCTGTGACCTTATTTTCATCAGATCTTTTTGAGTTTCATTTTTTTGGTAAGTTTAACATAAGTAGTGTTGTGTAGAAACATCTCTAGCTCCATTTGTTTGCCATACAAACGCCAAACGAGACATTTATGTTTGCCAACATTTGTTTGTTTGATATGTAAAAGAATAATAATTATCAGATCAAAAATGTATTTTTCGACACATGACTGTACCTATTAAATACAATTGTGCTCTTTTGATAATTAACTTTTTAACCAAAATTAAGGAACCACACTTTACATCAATTTCAAACAAACAAGATAAATATAAAAACGATTTAAAATACGAATCGTGTGCAAATATATTTGCGTTTGCATTACAACCAAACGCACCTTGACTACATTAATAAAGACGGCGTTGTAGAAACAAGTTGTGCCTCCGGGGAACAGAAAATTCTTAGACAAGACTTATATTTTCTTGTTTCAACCAGAAACTACCCCAGTGAATTCAGTTTAATCAGATCATATGATGACGTCCAAATCAAGCTCATAAACCATAATCAAAACTCTTTGGCTGATCTTTTCGCTCATTGGCCATGTAAATACAATATAAAAAATATAAATATTAGCTATGTATCTAATGAACTTAGTATTTCTGCCATCATTAATTAAAGTTTACTCCTATTTTGCCAAAAATAAATAAAAAATCCTTTCAGTGTCAATCTTATAAAATGTACCACCGCCCCCATCAGTAAGAATACATCGAAGTCAATACTAAGATCAAATCACTTTCCCCAAATTAAAAAAGACAGAAAACACTCTCATAATGGTAAGAATATATAATTAAGGCATTTAAATTAATATAATTGAAACATGAATCGGCCTTACTTAAGAGAAATCTCAATAATGATTTTCTTTTCTTTTTTTTTGGGGGCCTATTTTGGTCTTCTACTTAACTCAAGGTAATGTAGCATCCTTTCAAGTTTCAATTGCAATACAAGTACATACCAGAGCTGGGGAACTAGAGTAGCTCCCATAACATGTCAAAAGTGGAAAAAACTAGAAATGATAGGATTTAAAATGAAGTCATTCTTAGGAATAAGGAACTAGAGTAGCTCCCATATGTGATTGGGCTTCCTGTTTATAAATAACAAATTTTTCTTACAAAAGAATTTGCAACCAAAATGAGAAAAAGCAAAAGAATTGACCACAACTTACAGATCAAATGGCAGCAACACTATCTACAACATCTCTCTGTGGACAGAGAAGAGACAAAAGTCACCAAAGGAATAATCCCTACTTTTTATCTCTCTCGCTCACTCAAAGAGGGCGGAATTCCACAGGGGCTTTGGTGGACGGATGCCAACAAGAAGGGAATAAAGGAAACCCACCCTCCCGATTCGTAGCTCCTCTCCTCTTTCAGTGGCAACTTGACTTGGGCACCCCAACCTCTTGTTGTCTCTGTATATCAAATATGATAGAAACAAAATTTTCCCCTGTAAATTCCAAACAATGCATCTGTCCTTGACATATAATTCAGTCAACCTGTTCACCGATCAGGTCAAGACCCACCAACAAGAATGACACTCCTTGGAAGAGCAGGAAGTAGAAGTGTATTCCCTGGGCAGATAGAAGACTTCTAGCAGAGGCAGTCAAGAGAAGGAAAGCAAGTGCCAGCTCTTTTTTATATATCCTGTTGTGCATCTTTTTCTTCTTAGCATGCTGTTTGGATTCATCCTCAATTGCATCAAGATTGGGCACAGAAACACCCCTCTGTTGCTTCGATTCCTTCTCAGCCAAGGAGAGGAGATCACCTTCTGATGAGCGGCCCAACTTCTTGGTGACTACCCACTCATAAGCACTCCCAAGCTGGAATAGACCGGATATCATAGCATTGAATTTGGTCACAGACATTGTATTCTCGAAGAGGAGGTATGGTACAATAAAAGGGAAGGATCTCGGGGCCGGGAGGATGTTCAGAAAAGACATAGTTGCTGGGATGTAGCAGACCACCCAGGCAGGAAGTTCAGCCTCTGGAACAAACATCGTCATTGGGAGAATAACACAAAAGAGAGTGAAGGAATAGAAAGGTAGGACCAGTTTCCTGAGGAGAAAGAAGAGGAAGATCAAGTTGACTTTCTTCCAAACGCTAACCTGCATAAAAACAAAAGGAGAATCAGAAGAGCTGTTAACAAGAGTTGGAAATGGTTCCCCTCAAATCAATTGAAGCAGTTGTGAATGTACCAAAAGAAGAAATGAAGCAGTTGTGATTGATCAAGAGCGACATTGCGCCATTGAGTCGTAAGTTATGAAATTTTAAATTAAATACCTTAGCTCGGATAATATCCGGAAAACAGAGGCGAAACAACTGCATAGGACCAGAATGCCACCGGTGCTGTTGCTTACGGTAAGCTTCATATGATTCCGGCAGCTCGCATTGACACTGAATTGGAGGGAAAACTAAAACTGTCATGATAAATTCGAAGGACTGGGGGTTAACCGAAACTTGGGTCTTTTTGGGAGTTAATTATAGTGGTAGTATACCTCAACGTCATTAAGGAAGATGAATTTCCAGCCATTGAGATGAGCTCGGACAGCAATGTCCATGTCCTCGACAGTGGTCCTTTCCATCCATCCACCGGACTCCTCCAATGCCTTTATCCTCCAAACCCCTGCCGTCCCATTGAACCCAAAGAAATTGAGGAAGATCCCGTTAACTTGCTGCTCCACCTCAAAATGAAAGGAAAGGTTTACATTCTGCAATCTTGTGAGAAGATTCTCGTCCTTGTTTACGAAGGCCCACCTTGCTTGAACCAGTGCCAGTTCCTCATTATCCTGTAGGACAAGGAAGAGAGACTTTAGTGCAATCTCAACATAGCAACTTGGAGAGAGAGAGAGAGAGAGAGAGAGAGAGAGAGAGAGAGAGTGATTATTAGTACCTTGAAATGTGGAATCGTCCTCTTAAGAAAATCTGGAGTTGGCTGGAAATCGGCATCGAAGATGGCGACGAACTCATAGTCCTTGACATAGCTGCAATTCATTGCCGACTTGAGATTTCCAGCTTTATATCCTTCTCTGACTACTCGATGTCTGTAGACAACGTGAGCACCCTCTTGCTGCCATTTATGCACCTCCTCCTTTATCAGCAATTGGGTTGTCGGATCATCGGAATCGTCCAAGACTTGGATCAGTAAGTTGGACTTCGGCCAATCTAAATTGCAGACGGCAGAAATAGATTGTTGATAGACCTGACGGTAACTAAAGAGTTAGAACCAAAAAATAATTAAAACAGGAAAAACAACCACCAAATTCAGTTGGGGACGAAAGATACCTCCTTCTCATTGCACATGGGTATCTGAACAAGAACCATGGGGTAGTAGCCTTCTGCATTGCCAGCGTTGGATTCAAGATCTCCGACCGACCGTTTGGGAACGGGTTTGATTTTCTTTAACCGGATCCAGAAGCAACCCAAGCAAAGAATTAATCGATCGATACTCTGTATGAAGAAGAGTACAATACAGACATTCGCGATAAACTGGAGCGGAGGAGCGAGGTAATCCACCCTGATCAGAACCCATCGGGAATACAAAGAATCGAAAAACCCAAAAAACGTAAATGTCGTTGACAACAGATACTGCAATTGCAGGTCAGGAGCCCCCAAATGCCACCCTTTGAAGTACGCGGCAATCTCAAACCCTAACAACACCATGGACAACCACAAAAACACCTTAATACAGGAATAGAACCGGTTCTTCACTGTCGGGTTCTCGTTTTCATTGTCATTGCCGCTGTCGGAATCCGTTCTCCCAGAGGCCACCCGACGCCTTATGGCGGAAGCGAGCCCGAACATTGCCGAAGCAATCGAGGTCAGACATCCGGCAGCTCTGTGAGCTTTGAGGAGAAGAACCCAAGTTAGCTGTTTGGCGTTCTTCCCTCTACCCTTGTCGCCACTTCTAGTCGCACCGGCGAGGAGAAAGTCGTCTTCCGAAGGACTTTCTAATTCAACCATGGACCAATTAGGGTGTTGCATCTTGACAACCACCGGCGTTCCTTGGTGGCTCTGCTTGGACCACCAGTCGAACGACGGTGCCATTTTTCTCTGATTTTGGAGATATTCACTTAAAAATATCGACTTTACGCTGAGATCCACCTCTTCTTTCAACGATATACTTGCAAAAATACCAAAGCAGTCATAAGAAGCTACCAAGTTGTTCCCATAATCTTGAGAAGGAAAGAAAAAAGGCAGAAGGAGACAAAAAAAGAAGAAATGGACGAGCAGAAGGAGAAAGACAGAGAAGAGAGACTCAGACTCAATTAGCGTGGTAGAGGAACTGAAACTAAAAGCGTCTCCAATTCATGGCGACATTCAGGTAGAACTTATAAGAAGAGACCCTTCTAGAGAGAGAAAGAGAAGATTTGGCGAATGAGTCCAAAACCTCTCTTATTCAATTCCAGCTTGCAGGTTACCGTAACGGGAAGAGCGAGAGCCGAGAGAGCAGCAACACGAGGGAGAGAGATTGAGAGAACAGCTCAACACGTCTTCGAAATACCTTTTCTTTTTTTTCGGATTTGAGAAGAAATTAAAATAAATAAAATAAAGAACTTAAGATCGCATTCGCACCGTATAACCAGTAACTATTCCAAATTGAAAAGAAAGAAGGTAATAAAACGGAAAGTTTACCGTAATCTACCCCTATAAATTTGAGACAATTAAGAAAGAGATCTAACGATCTATCAAATACACCGACCAATTAAATTAAAGGAAAGAAATCGCAAGAAGAAACTGAGGATTCCGACCTCTACCCAAAAAATAACTGAGGATTCCGACAAAAACCACTTTTGGCCTGGGCACTTTCTCTTTTTACTGCTCCTTTAAAATAAACCCAGAACGTTGTAACCCAGACCAAACCTAGCCCTAGCTCATCAGAAGACCAGATTAGGGTTTTCAAAGCACGGATCGATAATTAAAGGAGTTAAAAAAGAGGGTAAGCCAGTTCCTATTTCCGTAGTTTTTGACCAAAAAAAGAAAAAAAAAGAAAAAAAAAACAAAGGATTGAGGATCTTTGTTGTAGGCTTGTAGCGTCCTTTCCTGGGAGAACCGTAGAAAACTTTTTCTCGCGTGTGAAATTGAAGAAAAACGGTATGTCCCGTCTCCTGGTTTTTGAATTTCTCTCTCTCTCTCTCTCCTCCACTCGCCTTTTAGCTTTAGGAGTGACTTCTTTCTCACACGCGAAAGTTCCTAGAGTCCCAGGGAAGGAGACGACGACGATCCAACAACCAAACGCGTTTGAGAGGCAAAAGTGAGAAAAGAAAAAGTGAATAAAATGTTTGTTTGGTTATTTAAAATGAGTTTTGTTGGATAGAAACACGTGACAAAAGAAGTCCGCTAACAGGGAGAAATCCATGGCCGTAGCCTTTCTGTGAGGGAGAGAGAAGACCGGTTCTTCTATATACGGTACGTGGTAAGAATGGAAATGGGAAACAAAACTATAACCATCGGTACAAAATTTGAAATAGCCCTATCCTCTATGAATCTAGGAAGAAGAAGAAAGAAGTTTATTGGAATGAACTATGAATGAATGATTTTACCAAAATGTCCAACGCCCATTGAATTTATCCGCCTTTAAGTTCCAATTGGAGTGCTCTTCCTTGGAATCAGAAGGGGGGAGGGGGGAGGAGGGAGCAGAGTTGAAATCATAAGGCGGCAGATGCCAGATGGACGATGGGCATGCTTTGCGTCCCCAAATGTCCTTACAATTTCTCGAATAGAATTTACGATGGGAGAGCGGGTGAGGGAGGAAGAGATGTATCATGCATTTGACAGGTGGTCTGGTCACTGGCTGGTGATCAGGTCACAAGGAGGAGTAGGAGTATGAGAGTATCCAAGTATGGTCCCCCCCTCCCCCCTCCGCTCTCGTTAGTAGTTATGGGCCATTTGGGCTTGGCAGACGACGTACACACCCCCTAACGGACTACAATATAATTCTTGAAACCAGCCCAGCGGTCGGGCCGATCAATCCCCATTAGGCCATTATGATTTATCAGATCACCACCCCCTTCACCCATCGACCAAACACGAGAAATAGCAAGTGGCAGAGAGCTTTTAAGCTTCTATGATTCTATCCTCAAACCTCGAAAGTCGATAGTCGAGGTCGATACCTCCAACCTTCCACACCCACACACAAACAGAAGTCCGGTTCGACCAGCAACAGAGGAAGGGAAACTGTCAGAAGAAAATGACTGACAAAAAAGGGGGAGGTAAAGTTTATAAATAAATCCGGAAAAAGTACTTCATGTGAGGCGAGCAATTCAGTCCAGTCCCGTTCAAATTTCAAATTTCAAATTTCACTCTAGAGGAGGAATAACGCGGAGCGGATGGTATTATAAAAGCAAAAAAAAACAAACAAACAAATTATTAAGTTGGTATAAAGATAAAGTCCGATTGTCCGAATTCTTCTCCAGGTCCGGGTTCCGGCTCGGATATTTACATCACAATCACATACATGTGTGACCGCCAGGTGCTTCCCGCACAGATAAGCGGTGTTACATGTCGAAAGGTCGTCCTCGGTGGCTGACAACCTGTTCAGCACAGCCGGCACGGCTGACGGCAGCCTGCTCAACTCAGTCTAGGTCGTGCCTTCCGCTATGTGCGCAATCTTTGCTCTGCCACCTCATCAATCCCCGTTGAATAATCCCTATTTTAATTTAATTTTTTGTTGCTTTTGTTGAATACTCCCGATCGGTGAGGCGGTGATCACTATTGCACTGCTGCAATTATCATTGGGTAGGTGTGAAAAGGACCTGAAAATTAATAAGATTTTCGTGTTTTTTAGGATCGGAAATTCATAAGCTTTTAATCAGAAGGATGGATCAATTAATCAAACAGACGGCCACGGCAGGTGATGGACAAGGAGGCTTGGTATTACAATTGTCATGACTCATGATTTTATGCGGAAAGATGACGGCCGTCGGATGGATTGGACTTGTTAATCTATGGAATGGAGTGGGTGGTATCCAGGTGGGTCAAAAATCAAAATGGACGTGTCGTTCAAAATTCTGAATCCAGCCAGGGTCCAGGCCTCCAGCCCACTAGCCCAGTGATATATATATATGTATATGTATTAACGCGTTATTGACTTATGTATTGAAGCCGCTAGTTCTGGTTCTCTCTCTTGTCTCTAGTGAGTGGGGACTGGTGACTAACGAGTAATGATGATGGTATGGCACAAGAGTGAATAGGGAGGTATAACTTAAGGCAGCGTATTCGAGGCCAAAGATAGAAAATTGAAAAAAGGGTTAAGTGAGCTGCCGGGAGGGAGACATCCCCAGTGTTGAGAATCATAATGATAAGATTCTTTCAACATATTATAAAGAATAATTAAAATGAGATACATGATCTGTGGCTTATGTCATACATACCTGCCTTCTATGTTTATGTTATATTTAATACTTTTAAATTAAATTCATGTGTTGTAAGGAATATAGATAGTTGGCCAGGCTTCCGAAAAATTAAAAAAAGAAAAATAAATGCATAAGCTGAATGGATGGAGGTGGGGTGACACGGAAAGATTAGCGTTCATGCATGACAGCTCGGCTTCATACAAAAACCCATCCCTTTTTGGATCTTCAAAATCGCCATGAATTCTAGAAATCCATAGAAGCAGCTTACCCGATATATATTAGTGTACGCTATTTATTTTATGTTTATTGATAAATATAAAAATTAGTTTAATAAACATATTATCTATATAAGAGAGTCATGCTCATACCTAGCTAGCTACACATTAATTTCTTATATACCACAGGACGTGTGTAATCTGCTTCACATGGTGGATGTTTAGAGTGAAGCTATCATTCTTTTTTTTTTTAATTTTGGAAACTAATAATTGACATGATGGGCTGGATTTGACTGAATCTGGACGCAGGGTAAAAAACAATGCAACACTCTTTCATCTTGTACTCTTATTAGCTAGCTGGGATCCATGTAATTCACTTCTTTATTTCCCAACTGTATTAATATACATAGGTTAGGTAATAATGAAGGTCATCGGCAAATTAATAACCTAGTTGGGGCTTTTGTTATAACAAAGGACGTAGGAATAATTTATACATCTAACACGGATGGTTCTTAGAGTTGGATGTATGTGAGATGGACAAAACTTGGGTGTTGTGTCAGATGACGCTTGCTGCTTGCCAGTTGGCAATTGGCAATTGACATATTCTCCATCAGCTGAGAGGGTGACTGAGTGGTGTATGTCATAATCCAATGACCACCCCTCCTCCCCAAGCTATGCTATTGCAGTTGCATTGCAGAGAGGGTTTTTGGAGTATTTTGTTGATTGAAGAGGATTAATATGCATATATAAAGCAGAAGCAGAAAGAAAAGCTTGGGGAGTATTCGGCTTCTTGCTTCTTCCATTCTCAACTTTTGAAAAGCACGCCAGCAGGATGGATGTGAATGATGATGATGATGTCGCTTCCCCATCTTTAGTCTTTACTATATATTATATTTTATCTTTCGTGTGCAAAGTTCAAAGCATTTTATAATTAAAAATTGCTTCTGGTAATTATAAAAAAAAAATGTTAAGAAAATTCAATTATCAAATTTGAAATCCCTTTCTAAGCTTCTTTATATGGAATGGACCATATACACATATTGCAACAAGACCATTTATATATATAGACCTCAAAAATTGATGAGATGAGGTCCTGGAATTAATAAGACAAAGTCATTCGCTCCATTGCTTTTCCACATGGCAGATGGTTAGTAGATGGGGCGTGCACATAAAGCTTCAAAAACCCAACATGCCCACAGAAAGATGGCATTCTAGCTTATCAAGTAAACCAATGTTGGACTGCCATTTTTTCAGATGTAGACTTTTATAATTTATAACCAACCTATTACTACTATTTGTTCTTCATGGATTTTTTTTTTTTTTATATCTTCTTTTTTCTTCTCTCCAATCAAACAAAAACAAAAAGAGGGATGGTGAAAGGTGTCCCCTTATAGCCAAGCATGTGGTTATATGGTTAGGGTCTGGTCGAAAGCTAAAAGGCAATAGATGGTGAAAACGTTGGGAACCTATTTTACTATGTTTTTCTACACCCTTTACTTCACAACAACAAGGACAAAAAAATGGAGAGAGATAATTACTGTAAAAGGGGCAGAAAAATATATACAACTTCAACTAGGACTGAAGTCTGTATCCTTTTCTAATGTTAATGGGCTTATAAATTATAAGTCAAGGCATCTTTAACTGCGCTCGGGTGTTTTAGAACTAAAGTTGTTTAGCATTGGGCCCAGTGGGTCTAAACTGGGCCTGGTATCGATGAAAAACTTGTATCTGAGCCCAAAAATTTCTAAACCTGACAGATGGGACAATACAAAGGATGCTTTTGGGTTTGGTCACCCCTAGCCTACAACGAAAACCAACATGGGCCACTCCCGGGCCGTCAATGGGTTCTTCATCAGATACAATCTACTCAGTAGTCAGTACTCACCATGCCATTGTAGACTTGAGCACAACGTTGCTCTGGTCTCATAGGATGGGATACATATCTTGGTAGATGTGTTGTATTGAGACTTGAAGCCAGCCATTGAAAACATCTCACAGGTTCGAAGTGTATATTGAGATGTGTGGTGTCAGATTATATTAGAAGCAGATCCGGTTTCATTTTTTCATATATTCTTTGCATGCCTCACATGCACATCTCACCATGCATTAGGAGTATTTCTCATACTTGTCGTGGGAAGATGTTTTCGATACACCACGGTTGGGATGTATCATGGGGCGCACTCTGTGGGGTGCCCATCCAAATTCCATCCAGCGTTCAAATACAGACTACAACTTTTACAATGAAAAAAAAAAAAAATACATACTACCACATAAATATATAATCAGTTGGTATTCATCAAAATTTACGTTTGATTTTAATTGGTCAAAGCTCTTATGTTATTACTCCTTTCCGGATTTTACTTGTTTTTTTTTAATTTTTTCAATTAATAATAATGGTAGTTTGATTTTGGGAGCACAAACTTGGATCGTGATGGGCTGAACATATCGCTAAATCTGCAATGGGCCGGCCATTCCAAAACTCAATAATAATACAACTTTTTGAAAACCCGAGCCCATGTAGTTAGAATTCTTAAAACCCATTCTTCTTCTTCATATCTTTCTTTATACAGCTCTTTTCCCTTTTTCTTTACTTGGTTTTGTTTGTTTTTTAATTGGATGATTGAATAAAAATTTAGAATGCTTCCCTATTACTTCCTTTTTAATCTATATTTTTTTCACGTTTTCCGAAATTTGAAGAATTGAGAAGCATAAATAATTACGAGTAGCAACTAAGCATAAACCTCTCTTAGTATTGAACCTGGGCTGCCTGACACCATTGTACATTTTTCCCAAAGTGGTCCATGTCATCAATTTTCAATACTCCTTAACTATAAAATAGTAACTCAATCTCGACTCCATTTGAAATGTTTTATATTTCTCAACCCAGAGCTGGTTTGATGAGAAATTCTGTGTATATGCACGGGTCGTTTTGGGTGGTAAAAAACTCAATAATAATACAAATATGTATAGTGTAAATACATACAAAATAAATACAGAATATAAGGTTTTGCATTCTACATATTTGTACTTCTTTCAAACTGAGCCTAAGTAGTTATATATAAAAGGATAGGAAACTAAACTGAAATAACATTTTCATAATCGAATTTTTTTCCCATT